GCAGCTGCTTTCTGGCCTACATTAGAAACAAAAGAACCTTTCTGTTTTCTCCTCCCACGCTCCCCTAGGAGCCACTGCTTCACCGACTGCAGCATTGTTTTTCTAATGAGAGATATTCTCCATTTTCAGTCTGATTAGGGAGGGACCCAACCAATACTAACACTGGAGCACTGCGCAGTATTAAGAGCTAAAAATTGCGACTTTCGTGGGAACTCCAGTCAGTGCCTAGCTTCTGATGGGTTTCAGGAGTAATCAGCTTCCTCACCTCACAAATCCCTTCTGAGGTGCTCCCTTGCTGCCCCTATTTCACTCCAGCCCAAGCGGAGCGGTGGTGCCCTCAAGGAATCCAGCTATGTGGCCAGCACCTTCCATCACATACTCGGAGAGGCCAGAGCTGTCTTTAAAGTTACTGAAATCAGCCTAGGTCTGCTAAAGCCAGCTGGTACTTTTACTCTGAATTCTTGCAACTTTGGTTCTAAGGGGAGTCCCAGGTTTCAGAAGACTACCAAATGCGTAAGCCACCAAATCCTGCTCATCATATTCACACACCGCTTGACCGCTTCAGTGAGCAGAGGAGTATAATCTGATGGTGTTTGCTGGTTTTCTGCTACTTCTACCAACTGATCTCAGTCAAATGAATGCCAGGTAGTTTAGCCTCCATATGGGTATTTTTAGATGGATTCATGCTACCTATTGTCCCTGGAAATACTTTCCTAATACTAATGTCTCCCAAGAGCTTTGGCTTGACTGCATCAACTTGCAAACACTGCGAGACACATCACAGCTCCATCCCAGACCAGAAATCCTGCCATTTATACATGATCCTCACCACAAGAGACAAGTTTCATCTCTTCTCTTATCTATCCAAATATAAAAGAAAAAAAATACCTTGAGAACAGTATTTGCTACAGAACACAAGAAATAGATTTACTAGTCTCCATAATCTCTTGTTATGTGATGGAAATAACAGCAGAGATGAACAGTTGAAAGACCATTTAGAAATGAAATATTTAGAGTAAACTTCCACCATCCCAACAAACAAGCTGAGTGCAAGGAATGCTTCAAATAAGTCCGTTCGGTTTTGTTTTGGGAAACACGAGGGGTTTTTCCACAAAGATGAAATAGGATTTCTGTGCTGATAATGTGACACACAAACTGTTCAAGAAACAATGGACTTGTGATGTTCAGATTTAGTAAACAGTATCTGCACAGGCAAAGCCGTGATTTAAAAAACAGGGATGCTCTTAGGTATCTACTTTTAAATCTTAAAGAGTTTTCCTTAAAAGGACAGTGCCATGTTCAATACAGCTTGTAATATGCACTGAGAACCAAATGATCACTGGATGGTGATGATGAGTATATGTCTGCTACATGCATTTTATTCTGATTCTATAACATACATTCATAGAATACATCATAACCACTCAGAGCAAACCACTAAAGTGCATGCCCTGAGGGCACATTAAGCATGTTGTCTCCAACACTGGCTGCTCAATTGCCAGAACACTGATACAGAAAGGGCTCATTTCTGCTTTATATCCCCATTTTGTGCTGAAAGAGTAAGAGCTAGCATCCCCTGCTCCCTCCATGAAAGGGAGCGCTGTGGAGCAGGCTAATTGCCTACTGCTGAAAAAGCCCTTTCAGAAAGAAGTAACCACCCTGAGAAGGTGCTGTACAGAAACGCAGGGAGCGAGTCTTGGATTAACTCTTGGGTAAGTGGACCTGTGTACTGGGTTAGGCTGGGATGAAGTTAATTTTCCTCACAGCAGCCTGTATGGTGCTGTTACAGACTTGCGACCAAAGGAGCGTTGATCACACAACAGTGTTTTACCTGTTGCTGAGCAGTGCTTGCACGGGGTCAAGGCCTTCTCTGTTTCTCACTCTGCTGCCCCAGCAGAGTAGGGTGGGGCTGGGCAAGAGGGTGGGAGGGCACACCGCCAGGACAGCTGACCTGAACAGACTGAAGAAATATTCCATACCACATCATGTCATGATTGGCAATAAGGGGGGAGGGAGAAGTTTCCAAAGGTAGCCATTGCTTGGAGGCTGGCTGGGCATTCGCCTGCTGGTGGGAGGTGGTGAGTGATCGTCTTTGCATCACTTGGGTTTCTTTTTTTTTTCCCCTTAACTTAATGAACTGTCTTTATCTCGACGCATGAGTTTTCTTGCTTTGCCTTTCCAGTGCTTCCTCCCATCCTACTGGGGAAAGTGAGCAAGCAATGGAGTAGAGGCTTACCTGCCAGCCAGGGTCAACCCGCCACAACCTTTAAGTGGGTTTTCCACTTTTAAGTTCTCCCTTCTAGGACATGCTTTGCCAATGCACAAAGTTCTAGGGTTACCATGCGAAGTTAAGGCCACATGTAAAACCTACTCCTGTTTTTGGCAGCTGGGAGTGCGCTCACAAGCTGCTGGAAGGCTGCAGATGCAATTCTAAGCTGGCCATACTGTGTATTTACTCCAGCTGTGGTGCAGCACTGAAACTATAGAAGCGATGGGCTGCACTCCTAACCACAGGAAGCACAGTGATGGAATGGAATCACACAAAAAAACCCCACCTCACAACTTCAGCTCAGCACCTACTCCCCACCCCCCC